ACGGCACAACCAAAAACAAAGGACTTCTATTTTGACATGCTTTTACAAAAGAAGGGCCAGGGAATTGCACTATGAAGAATACCCCAAATGACCTTTATGGTGCAATGCCAAGGTCAGTAGCCCTTTCACAAATTTTGGAAAAATGTCTCTTTTGATTGATGGTTAGAATAGTTCAGTTTACCAAGTCAGGTGGAAATAGTATTATAATAGTGATGATTTATTTGAAAAAAATGTAAGTATAAACTAAATTTCAAGAACAAAGGTTTCTATAGGTGACCAAATAGATGCCTGATTAACTTGAAATTATATATATATATATATATATATATATATATATATATATATATATATATATATATATATATATATGTAGACACACACACACACACGTTAAAAATCTTTGCACCTTATCCTCACTACCTCATGTTCAGAAATGAGAGCTGTGTCGGTGCTGCACTGTCCTGTCTGTTTACTGTGTCTAATGTCTGTTTTATTTATCGTATTTATTGTATTGTTTCTAGTTTAATGTTTTGCACACCTGCGTCTGGTCATTTGCACTTTGTCTGTACTGTCTATTTTGTTCCATGTTGCACCATGTTGGTCCTGGAAGAATGTAATTTCGCTCCACTGTGTACTTGTGCATAGATGGAATGACAATAAAAGCCTCTTGACTTGACATACACACATACATAAATGCATACATGCATACATACATACATAGATAATCACACACACATAAACACAGGTAAAAAGTTCTTATTCTCATTCTCAATATTCTTATTTAATGACTAGCCATAGAACTTTGTTTTTCATTGTTTCTCAGCCGGGGGCAGTCTTTGCACTAGGTCATGGGTCGATGTGGCTGCAGATTTTAATTCCAAACAAGCTGAAGCACACCTGATTCCACTTCTTTAATCAACTGATCTCAGTCAAACAGTTGATCACATGATGTGCTTTGTTGGAATGAAAACCTGCAGCCACACTGGCCCTTTGCACCCCTGCACTAAGCAAAGGAAGGGTCCCCCAGAGCCATGATACAAATACTCATGAAAATACAAATTAGACATACTGCATATGTTTATATTAAATGTCCTATTCAGAAACATATATACATTTTAATAAAAGCTGTTATTTGCAACTGTAGTGGTTATTTTTCATGGTAGTAATGGACTACTCCATGTAGTTGCGTAATGATACAAATGTGTAAAGACAGACTTGTAGGAATAAGACCGTTCAGTGATAACCTACATAATTGAGAGGAGGTTCTCAGGTGTAATATTTTGGGTGTTAAAAGGACCAAAAAAAAAAAGTCAGGAAAGCAAAATGTTTGCTAGTACAAGCAAAACTAACTTTGCTTTTTCAGTCAGAACAGAGTGCTGCACAGGCTTAGCAGACCACACATCATGCTAACATTAATGTTAATATAGACAAATATAGACTCCAAAGTTGGGCTAATTATAAAAAAGTATTTCATTACAAGTTACTATGTACTTCTCTCAAAATGTATTTGCATTACGTTACTTATTACTTCCTGGAAAAAGCAATCTCTCTACTCATTACTTAGATGTTACTCTATGCTCATTTATCTCTCCTTATGGGCATATAATGTTTGTTACAAGTAGAATTTCTTAAACCAAGCAAAGTTATCTACCAAAATAATGACATAATTTCACTTAACAAAATTACTCAAGCAAAAAATGTCCAGAAATTACAAATAATTTTATAACATTCTTACAACAGTATGAAATTGAGAAATGTCATATATACTGACAATTTTAAATGATTTCACTTCCCAAGATATCATTTTATGCAGTGTAGATGGCGGGGCCACTCAGGAGCCCAGAGCCTCAACTTAGGGATGGGCGATAAAACGCTAACGATAATTATCGCGATATAACTTTTCCTCGATAGAGCGATACGACATGTTCGATAAATGTTCGATATAATACACCATTCTCACACTTCCACGTTCTACCGAAAGCCTTGGTGGCGTCTTCTACTGCAAGAAAGACGATACTACTCTGCTATCACCAGGAGAGGGTGCACTTCTGAGTTTTTCTACATGATTAGAGAGGGAGGGGGCCACGAGTAAGATGAGTCTTTAGCAACGGCTGAAACGCAGAGTTATACACTCCCTGTTTGAGTGGAGCGACCGGCGATCTGTTCTCCTGTGACCGAGTGTGAGTGACGAGGTCAGTGGTGTAACTGTACTGTCCTACAGTGAACTCACCTCTTTCTGTACATCCTAACCAGCTTTAGCAGCGTTAAATCACTATCCTCACAACTAAAGCGCTGTTACAGCGCTCGGACAGTCATATTTAAGTATTAGTGCATTCACAAGCAACGAAAGTGAAAGAAAGAAGTGGGTTAATCTAAATTACAGCCCTGATTGAAACGAAAGTAAACTGAGGAAGCTGTGAGGCATTGGAGAGTGGGAGAGCGCTAGCTTTCCAGGCTAGCTGTTTTTAGCAGCTGGCTAACTTGGAGCAGCGCTCCGTCAGCACCGCTTTCAGTTTAAACATACCTAAAAGGAGGACTCCGTTTGTCTGGTGTTGATATTTTGCGGTTCACCACTTAAACTACTACGATAGTATAGAGAAATCCAGTTGTCGCTAGCTGGTGTCTGAATACTGTGAAGTCATTTGTAACGGGGTAGCCGAGCGCTCGTCACCAGCTAAAAATAATCTGTTTTCTTTCTTAAATTATGACTATTACAAAATAGCCATGCTTTTCCAGCTGGTAAAAACAGCTCACCAGACACTTTCTCCCACTCTCTCATGACAGATTTGTGAAATGTTCCACTGTTTGGCGAGTGTTTGTCGTGTTCCGACCATAAAAGAACAGCAATTAACCACCCAGGAGCAAAAATCAGCCTTCAAACTTGAAAGAAATAATGATTTGACATTTATCGCGGTATATATCGATATCAAACGATATGAATTTTGTTTATCGTGATAACATTTTTGGCCATATCGCCCAGCTCTACCTCAACTAATTCAAAAATATGCATTCAGAGGGCCCCATTCCTGTATTTAGAATCACTAAATCTGCCCGTTTTCAGCAGTGTTTACAATGAAAGTATGCTTATACATTATGCAATACAAACTGAGGAAAAAACATCAGAGACATAAGACATCAGAACTCTGCATCTCTATACGGGCACAAAGCTGGTCATGACCTTTCAGGGAACACCAAAATATCTCAGGATACTACTAACTGGAGCGTGACTGACTTGCACAGTTATTACATGGAGCCTAGATATTCTCTCAAGATTTTATTTTGCTCAAGACCTCCCTGCCCCGTCTCTGGACCTCCCTGTTCTGGCACGGCTCCAGCGTGCCCTCAGTCACCTCCCCGTTTCACCCGTCCCATGCACCCTCCACCCTCCTTTTCCCCCCCTCGCCTACAGCGGTTCTCCCCGCTGCCCGATCCCATGTCTGTTCTGTAAGTGGCCGTCGAGGAACCTCAATAACGGAGGCCTGGCCCTCACTGCAAGCCTGGAGTTTGTAAAACGGGGGGATGGAAAGGGAAGGAAAGCTCTCCCTCATACGAGCAACTGGAATATTAGCTTATGGAGTGTGTGTGGGGGGGGGGTGGCTGAACAGGGGGAACCGCTGTGGGTATCAGACCACAGAACACTCCCCCACATGTGGTGTCAATTAGGAACAATCTTGTTTTTTACCCACCACTGAAAAGAAAGGAGGGTTTTTCTTGGGCAGTGTGTTTTTTTCTCTCTGCAGACCGCCAGACCACAAAAAAAAAAAAAGCCGGAAATTCAGTTTCATATCAATGCGTTTTTCCGGGAGTCCAGTTTTTTAGGACTCATATCATTCACACTTAAATTAGCTAAAGTTTTGCAATAAAACTGAAGACATTTTTGCTTGTTTTTTTTTTGGTAAATGAACTGCAAAACTGCAGATGTACTGAAGTTGTGAAGTTAACACTGTGAGCCGTCAATATCTACAAGACAAAGCTCTGGGCCAGTAATGCAGGAATTGGCATTGAGAGATTTAATCGACTGCACAAAGGCACAAAGGAAGTGACTCAGCTCCTCATAGAGGAAGTTCCCCTTTAAAATATTAATACCCGCTTCAATTATATATCCCATTACAAACGGCTGTGGTTTGGCAATTTTAATTATTCATTTATCCCCAGATTGATGCCTGAAAGGGAATAAAAAAAACCTGATGCCTCTCTGGCAAACTTTAAAACATCAGGTTACAAAGAGGCTTTGCTGATTGGATCAGATGAGATCAGATGAAGATATTTTCACACCTTTCAAAGAGGCATACTTCAAACAGCGGGTCACAGCCACAGCCCAGGATTCACCCCAAGCGCAGGTGTGAATGCAGCAGCCTGTGCTGCCTCTGGAATGAGACCAATCTCAACGAACTGATGCCCACAGAAACAAAACTCTCAGCTGCCTGCCATAATAGCCATACCCTGTTTGGAACTTTATACTATACTTCCTGCAATACGTTTGGCATGTAACAAAAGACGACCTCTTGCCCCCTCCGGCCGAATTGAGAACCCAGATCGCCTCTTCTCTCTCAGGAGCACACGGCCAAGTGTGTGGGAGAGACAGAAAGTAAACAAACAGCACTGGGACGCTGGGAGTAGACCACAATAAGGTGAGGTTTTCGCATCAAAGGCTACCTGCGCCTCAGGGTTCTCTAAAGGAACATAAGCTGCGACAAGCCCTCAGAAAAGAGACAAAAGCTCAGGGCTCAAACACCCATACAGCCCTTCTTTCCTCTGGGGGACTGTTTTGTTTAATAACTCTGACTCAATAAAACAGTCACTCCCATGAAAGTGCGATTGAGACACCATCAGAGGTTATTTTACAGTTGACTCTCTCAGCCTTAAATTGTTCAGCATTAATGACAGAAGCAATTTCTGGACATTAAGGTAGCCAGAGGGTTCAATGACAGCAGACAGAGGCTGTTTCACAGCAGGTGAGGGGCCTTCTCTATTGCTGCAGCTCATGGGATTACACTCACCAGTTGAACGTATGCCACTTTGTAATCTGGTCTCTTCACACGTTGGTTTAGGTGGTTTCTTTTCTTGTTTGTACCTGAAACAGAGAAAACAGGTCCAATAACGTGTCAGTCATCAGGCCAGGCCTGTCACCATCCTGACATTTTACCTGAGGATTACTGACCTTATGAATAAATGCAATTAACAATGTCATTATAGTTCATCATATGCAAGTATTAAAGTCAAACTGGCTCATCAGCTACCCTGCTAGCTTGTTAGCTCCCAAGTGACAACAGGTACAAGCTTAAACAAACACCACACCCTAGTTGTTTGGGTAAGACCTTTGCTAGGTTTGTTATGATCTTGATACAATGATGATATAATGTTTGATACCAAACGATACTATGGCAAACTCATCACTGTCTGACCGCCAAATGTTTATTGGATTGAATTTACAAATAAAAACCTAATTTTTAAGCTTAAGTAACAGGTCTGTTTTTTGTTCCATCTTTTGTCATCAATACAAAACTCAAGCAGGTTAAATGCAACGTCTCCTCTTATTAGCTTATCGCTGCTGTCGGAAGAAAACCTCATATCTCCATTTTTGTCGTTTTCCAGTTTTTGACTTGATTTGAAATATTCCTGTTGCCCTTTACATTGTACATTTAATGTAACATAATGTAAATTTCATGACGAATGGACCAAAAGAAATGGCCCAAAATGACTTGGCAAAAAGTCTGGTTCCATTGACCTACACTAAAAGTAAAGTAGGTTTTTTCCTTTTCCTGTAAAGTTATCATTTTGGAGATTTTCTTCTGACAACAGTGTTATGTAAATGAGTAATTAAAAGTATTGAATGCACTGAAAGTTAGAGTATTCAATGGTTTGAAACATTGAAAAAGTACTTTGGCTGAAATTAACACATGGTGGAAAGCTTACTCTTTTAGGTAAGAGCTCTGGTGTTATCAGGCTAAAATAAATCAGTAGCACAAAAATATTAGCAGCAAGCTGTGGAATACAACTGAAAACATGTTTTATTATTGTTCAAAAAAGCAAGGAAAATCAGTAGTTTTTACTGGATGAGTAATGGAAGCTGCCTCTTCAGATATGAGCTAAAGTTAACTGGCACAATGCTGGATGCTGATCTGAACTCGTCATCAATTCACATTGTTTGGAGTGAGGTAAACATGTTTGTGAAGGCTAAATTTTGCTCTACAAATAAGAACGGTAATATGCACATACTATTAAGTGCCCAGTTTCTCAGAAACACTACAATGCCAGAATTAAAATGTTCGTAAAATTTGACACTCTCAAACGTAACTAAGTATCCAAACAATGAGCAGTTTCTAGTTTATGATTTACTAAGCAGGGCTAACAAACTGAAGTTTTTAACTCCAAATTTTCATTTTGAACATCCTGTTTCTCATTAGAATCAAAAGATGTTTGCATGGTGACATACTCGGAAGCTAGAATTCTGACTGCTTTGCAACAATGCAGGTAGTTGCACTCCTTGAGAAAAAGAAGAAGGAAGGGCACGTTTTGTCTTTTCTCCTGTTGACGTGGGATAGCATGTTAACCTTTTCCCAGCTGGGCATGATGTCATCTTTAAAGGCCTCCTGGACAATTTAGCTAAGAAACAAAGGAAGCAGTCTGGAGGAAAAACATCTTCCAAACCCTCCAACTGCTACCACATTTTTATTCAGAAAAGAAAAAAGAGAGAGAAGAAAAGACCAACAGTGAAACACTGTTGTTGACTCTATTCTCATTGAAAACCCATCAACGTGCTTGTGCTATGCAGCGAATGTGTTAAAATAAGTCACATGAGCGTGTGTGTGTGTGTGTGTTGTTACACGTAATCACTGCAGTGATTCTCAGGGGAAGCCCTTCTTGGTAAAATCAACAGCCTCACTGAGGCAATGGTTGATGGTTGAGTAGAGGCAAAAGCAGGATGGGGGGGGACTCCTCAGCCTAGGGTCAGCTGGGTTAGTCCCCTAAACCAGGTGAAAAGACTTGCTTTTGTTCATGGATTTGAACCCCCAGTCCTCCACACTTCCCCCACCCCACCAAAATCCCACCCCACACATACTCCATACCCTTCAAAAAAAATTCTCCTTGCTTTGGGGTTGCGGTTTGGCTGCTATCACATTACAAATCCCAGGACAGAGAGGTAGCCATAGCAACCTCTTCCAAAATACCCCACCACACTCAGGGAGGAAAGAATGGAACCCTTGAGTGCTGGGGAGCAGTCAGAGCCCCTGCGCCCCACTCACACATCCTTTACACCGCCAATGGAGTGGAACCCATGACGCAGACAGGGATACCTGCTCTGACGCACCAAAAGATCGCTTAGCCTTTGTTGTTTTTTATTTTCTTCAAAATCTAAATGGTGTTCCACTATTTTTTTGATGTTTTATGTGGCACTCGTAAAAAAATGCAGCCCGCCCACTCGCTGGCTCCCCGCAACATTAGCGCAAAAAGCCGCTCCAGGGAAATGGGGCTTCCAGTGGCTACAGCCCAACAGGGCACTCATAAAAGTGATTCCCCCTTGCATTCAGCAAATTGCTCCTTGTTGCAATTTTCTGGGATGATAAAGCTTGTAATAAGCGCTGTTTGCTTGTTCATAAAAACGTCTACATGCTGAAAACGCTTCCCTTTAATTTAGTTTTCTCAAATACAACCATAAACTAAAAAAAAAAAAAACAGGTTGTGCAACTTCTTGGCTGCCTCAATAACAGGGCATCCTAGGACAGCTGATGGTCAGAACGCTGGAGCAGCAGATCTAGAGATAAGTGGCTGTGGGAAAAAGACATTGAATCACGCAAGCCACTCCTTACTGTCTTTTACTCTCACTCTCATCCGCAACTCCCCCTCTCCAAGCCTCTTATCGGTTTCTCTGTAACATGAAGACTTTCTTCTGTTTGAATGCTCAGGCAATTTTTTTAATCATGTGGCAAAAAAGGGATCAGCAAATACCAGAACGGCAAAAACTCTTTATAGTAGTGTAGTGTTTCAATGGAAATTCTTTGTGAACAACTTTATGTCCTTTGGTTTCGCTTGTCTGATTTTCCTTTGTATTAGCAGGTTGTTCCTTTATCGCTGCACACTGTCAGCTATGCAGAAGGGCAAAGGCTGGCAGCATCTGAATTCCTCAATATGCGATGAAAAGGGGGTCATGGGTTTTGTGCAGGAGGTCCTGATGGTGGTTTATAAACCACTGGGGGGTTTTTTTGGCAGCAGATTGCCTAGACTGCTTCAGCATTTTTTTCCAGAGTAGACAACACTGTCTCTCAATCTTTCTGTTGATATTGCACAAAACCAAGTTAGTGCACAGTCTGATCAGAAATCATATAATGAAGAGCTGTGATCAAACAATGCCAATAGCTGAAATGTTGTCTTACAATATAAAAAAAATGTGTAAATGCAAAGCACTACACCGTCACATAATAAAAATACATGGATTTTAAAGTTATGTTTGAATTTATTTAACAGAAACTTGACAGCAGCCTTCACCATATAAAACTTTCAGCACAGGACAATGACCTGTTATATTTTCATACTAGGTCTGAGCTGGTAAAACAATCCTTTTATTCGGGTAACTGCATAGAAACACAGCAAACAGTTAAACTGGGTTGGTGGGGGGGATTCCTTTGCTTTAACAATTCGTCCTATAATTTTTTGGCAGTCCCTGAAACCGTCTCTGTACAAAACACACTGATACCCTGTGAGTTGAGTCTTAATCTTTATTAAATAAAAGAGCATAATAAAGAGCAGTTCAGTAAAGGCTGTGGTTGTAGCCCACCGTCATCTTTAATTTGGCCACAAAACTGTAATTAATCTAATGTGAATGTTACACAAACTTCACCATCTGAGAGTTTGTGGCCACTAGGGGTGCGGGAAAAAATCGATTCTTAGATGCATCGCGATGCGGAAGATTCTGAATCGATTCACAAATGTCAAAAATCGATTTTCTAAATATTTAATTTATAACGTAATGTTGACGGAACGCAAAAGGCGGAACTTGGAAGTGGGAAAGTGCAGCGCCCGGACAGTCTGTGACGGCACATAACAAAAACACAACTGGATGACCGAGAAATCCAACCGGCTCCCTCTGCATTAAAAGCCAGGTTAGGTCAGGAGTCACAAAACAAATGTTAACATTTTGTCCTTTCAACAAAGTCAAACCACCTTGGGAGCCGCAACATTTAATGTCCAGTATGTCTCAGTATGTGATAATGTCCTAGTATAGGCTAAACAATATAACGTTAAACGAAAACGCAGATTTACTTCGCTCTGCTTTAAGCTTCAGCTATAGCCGCTTTCTTCCCATCTCTGCCAGAAAACTTTTCCTCAGAAGTAGATCAGTTAAAAGTCTCTCAACGTTCGACTGTTTTATGAGGCTGAAGTCGCTTCTTATTCTCCAGCTTCTTGTTCGAATTTACCCATCCCAACTTAAATTCTAACTGAGGCGCCGAATGTAAATGCGGCACCATTTAAGGTGGAATGGGAGAATTCAAAAGAGAAGCTGATTTCACCTTTGCCACTTTTTAGTGTGACAGTCTCTCGTTGCAGATTTGACGTACCAGGAAACCAACTGCGCTGCTTATAAATGCGAATAACGCATCGCTGCTTTGTGACCTACAGTCTGCACGCCGGTTCTCAGTCGTTGCAAAACAGCGCGAAAGCCCTATGTTGCACACGTCCCGTCTCAAAGATACTTTACTGACACAGCGATCCTCCCCGTCTCTACAACGAGACCAAATCCGAAGTAATAAAATCACTAAAGAAAAGAATAGCTGTAACGTGCTGCGTGGACATCCACTGCCACTGGATCTTATTTCACCATAACTGCGCATTTTATCGTAGATGAGTAGCAGCAGCTTCTCGTGCTCCAAACAAGAGCACTGAATGAGAGCCTTCTAGTTCACTTGCCACATCACTTCCATTTGTTTTATTAAAAAAGATATTGGAAGTAAATTCATTATGGATCATTACAAATACTTTGCTTTAAAAGTACCAAGTCACTTTAAATAACAATAACACAGAGTTACTTAGTCACTTTAAAATGTATATTGTCTCTATATTCTGTATATATTCTGTGTATATTTTGTGTATATTTAATATATTTCAGTTGGTTTTTCTTGTATTTTTATTTTTACTTATTTACTTTCTGTAGCGTGATTATCTGAGCCTCACCACAAGCATTTCAATGCATAAATGTCCTGACATGTTGTGCAAATGACAAATAAACTTGAAACTTGAACTCGAAACTTGAGCTCACACAGTGAGAAAATATAAATGCTATATAGAAAAAAAGATGCATCGAGATGCATCGATAATCGTTTTATAATCGCATCGCAGCCCTCCGAATCATAATCGAATCGTGAGGTGCCTAGAGATTCCCACCCCTAGTGGCCACTCAGTTTAGCCCTTTGCCTTCTTCTCTGAAGCCATTTCGCCATTTAAATAGACCTGCTTTGCCTGATGAACGAGAGCCGAGGCAAGTTTTTCCTGAGACTGAAGTCATTTTTTAGTCTGAAACCTAAAATGTACACTCTACCATGGAGGAGACTTTTTTGCACAGGCATGATATCTCCACGAACACGTTTAACTAGCGCAGCTGTGTTTCTAGCTAACGCTTCAGGACATCTACAACAGCAGGGTGATGAAGCATGCTGGCAAAATTACAGCTGACCCCTCTTATCCTCTCTATCTTATCCTGGACATCACCTCTTCCAATCAGTTCCCTCTGGTAGAAAACTCAGGGCCATCAAAAACAGCACAACCAGACATGCTAACAGCTTTTTCCCCAGAGCTGTAGCACTCATAAACCACAGAGGACACCTCACACTTTAATTTTAAACTGAAACCAACCTCCCTCACTGTGCTACAGCACAACTCCTCTGTCACATAATGCTTATTTGCACAGCTGTACAAAAGTTATTTTTTTTCCAAGTATTAATTTTCCTCTTTAATATTCCATATATAATATTACGGTATATGTCTACTCAGACCTGCATATGTATAGATTTTCATATGTGCATATGCACAGATATTCATCTCTTTGGCTCATTTCACATCAGCTCTTTATTATCCTTATTCTTTATGCTACTTACTGTACTTATATTATTATTTGTCCCTTAGTTAAATATTTGTTAATAGTCTGTGTTTGTCTGGTGTGTTCGGATTGTTTCAAATGTCATACATGTGTGCAATCATCAAGAAAAATTCCTTGTATGTGTAACATGCTTGGCGAACTAAAGCGATTCTGATTCTAAAATGATTTTTTACTGTCACTGGGAGCTGTTACCATGGTAACTCAATTTTCTGTCACCGTGCACACGCCTAATTCACATTTAAACATTTTTGGAATGACTGTCTAAAATACTATTCGGACAGGATTAGTTTTACATAGGAAGACAGGATGAAGCAATTTTACATTAGATGTCTAATGTTCATGTTTGCAAGGGACAGGAAATCTTGGCTATAAATTACAGATATGGGAGCGGCTAGTTGATTTATACATCACACCAAAAAAACGTCCACACACAATAGAGAACACGGCCAAACATTTCATTTAATAATTATAATTTTGTTTACTCTATCCAGCGTTTCCCAAACATTCGTTAAACTTTGGCGATTCACCCAGGCATATGGACACCTGTCCAAGTATATTTTGATTTGTTTAAAACACTGAGCATTTTTATTAATCTGTTTTGCAAAAACATACTTTGAACCTGACCTCTACACGAACGCAGCTCAGGTCAGGGGAGGGGGGGAAGCAAGGCAGCGCAAAGGAGAAAGTGAGAGTGACCTATTACATGTAACAAGCAAGGCTGTCCCAACTGAATTTGCTTTTTCTTAGTTTGAAGTAATGCCTAGTTTTTTTACGCTAATGATGCATCTAATATTTATTTAACAGATGAGTACTGAGAAATATTTTAACGAAGCTGCACGAGAAGGAGGAAAGACTGGTAGCTCAGGTACCCTGATAAATGCTAATTCAGAGAGCTTTGCAGTCATTAAGCTATCATAAGAAACCTGCATTTTGGTAATTTCAATGGGCATTATTCTAGTGTAGCTTGCGGCTTCATTTCGCATCCAAAAATGCAAAAGCATTGTTTTTATTGAAGGTGCGAACACGGGCACCGACATTCTGTATTGATGCAGTCGGCACTCTGCGACTCCAAGCACTGTTCATTATCTCAGCGTGTCACGGTGCGCTACTCAGGATTTTGCCGTTGCTACATTAAATTAAAGCCACATGGAGACCACAGAAAGCCATAGTGGATCACATGTGGCTTAAAATTTACACAGAAAGGCAGTCATTCTTTTAGAAAAACAGAAAAATTATAATGGTAAGTTACTTTAGTTTATAATACTACTCAAGTCTTTTTCACCTCGTATCTTTCAGTTGGAAAACAGTGAGTTTGTGAAAAGATAGGAAACTGATGCCAAGCATGATAAACGATAGATGTTGAAAATTTTGTTTCAATAAACACAAGTATAGTGTAAAAATGAACTCGAACTTGATGTTTATCTGCGCGCTCACTAAATGCATTCCATAGCAGCACTGCACGGCACGTCCAGTGTGTGGTGGCCTTATGTGTTATTAATTGTAGCAACAGACGCCCTTAGATAGTCTTGTGAAAATGAATGCATATTTGTAATATCTGAGTGAATTCATTTGAAATAAAGTTATTTTTATGAATGTTGTTGCTTATTTATGCTGTAGAGTTGGTGTCACCCACTGTGCCCCTGCTTCAATAACAAGGTATATTTCAAATCTGTGGGAAACACTGCTATCCATTTACCTAGCAAGTAAACAGACGCCAAGCGATGTCACATGCATTCACTCTTGCTAAGTGAATCCATGTATCATTAGCATTGTCTTTAACTTGAGAATTTATGGCCCACAGTCAACATCACCGCATTTTTACTGAGAAAGGACAATACATCTTTAAGCGCCTCGATATTTAAGAAATCCTGTGAAAACTACTCTCCACAGCATATGATGGGATATTCACAAAAATTTACCGGCAATTCACCTGTGGTTACTTCTACGGTTTGTTTTACAGTAAGTAAAAGACGACAGAATCTTTACTAACACAGGGCATCACAGTCCACAAAAGTTACTGACATGGTGGATTACGACAAGGCTATTATTATAATAATTACATCACCCCACCTCCCCACTAAAAATTAATCTCATCCCGAATAGCATTAAAGTGTATATCTGAGCTGTAAAACACCGCAGTCAGTGAGGACACAGGTGAATCTTGAGTTTGACAGAAACACTTAAAATTGACGAAAAATTGTCAACTGCTGATGCACTGTGTAGGTGTGAAATCTACTCACAATACTGAATCCTTGTGCGCACTGCTGCTACAGGAACGCTGTAGATCTTCTCCAGGTAGTTCCGTACATCAAATTTGGTCATCCTTGAAAAAATCGGAAAGGAGAAGGGCACAGAGTGGTGGTGAGGCAATGGAACAGAACAAAGGACATGGTCAGTAGACTGTTCCAAGAAAATAGGACATTCTACGTCTTGCTATTGTCAAGACACTCCATAATGTTTAGAGGAGATGTCAAACATGACGGTTCAGTAGATAGTGTTTGGAATGTTTTGTTTCACAGGGAAAAGGACATTTATAGAACATTCAGAAACAATATCTTAAAAGATCCTAATGGCTCGTTTAAAAATACACAAAGAGTGATTAATTAAATCAAGTTACAGAATCTCAAATATAAAAATCCTCAATGTTCAGTTATTGAAAAAAATAGTGGTAACTTTGTATGAAATACAAAACTGAAAACTAGAAAGTCTGGTATGGTCGTAGGCCAAGATGTAATTCTTTCATTCCCTGCTTTCTAAACAGATATGCACTCTTGTGGGCAAAGTTCTTTGTAGCTGATTCAACTAAGCCAAGCATTTCTAACATTCAGGCTGACTTTGCGTTTCGAAAGCTGAAGCTGCCACGTTAAACTTGCACGAAATGCACACAGTTCAAACTGAAAAAAAAACGCAGAAAAAGTGCAGAAGACTGAATAAATTATTTTACAGTATTCTGTAGAAATATTATTTTCATACACACCTAAAGAGCATGGACAGTGACAATGTAATAAAAATAAAAATTCAAGCCACTGATCCTATTCAAAAGTGCTAAGAGAATGGAATGACCAACCAATTTTTAAAAAATATCAGTGTCCTTATAGAAATTTGTCAGCTTGCACTGAAACAGGTTGGAGTCAAGTGGCATGTCACTCTAACGACACAATACAAATACTCCCAAATGTACTCTATGGCCAAAAGTATCGAGACACCCCTCATAATTAGTGAATTCAGTTTTTTAAGATGCACCCATAACTGACGAAAGCATTTATGTCTACACACAGCTTGTATGATCTCCATGAATAAGCATTTTCAATAGAATTGGACACTCTGGAGCAGCTGCACACAAGCCCTAGGTCACCATACCCAATGCCAAGTGTCAGCTAGAGGGGTATACAGCCTTCTCTGGAGTGATAGTGCACCATTTTTGAGATGAGTTGGAGCTGCGTTTGTGATCCAGAACTAATCATCCAATGCAAGTACCTGACCTCACTAATTCTCTTATAGCTGAATGCAATCAAACCTTCACAGCAATGTTCCAACATCTAGTGCAAAGCCTTCTCAGAAGAGTAAAGGCTGTTACTGCAGCAATAGAGGGACAAACTCTCTAATAATATCCTGGAATTCAGAGGAAACATGGGATAACCAGGTAACTACAAAATTATGGCCACTGTCTAGTTGCAATGGAAAACTGGAATTCATTTTCTTTCATTGTCTAAAAAAAAAGATCCCAAACAGTTTTTAAGCAACACCACAGATGAACATTTTTTTGTTGCCTAAAGAAACTTTCAACTGAGTGTTCTCAGTTTTTTTTTCTTTTAAAGGACCATCAACTGAAAGGTTTTTATGGAACCAAAAAAGGTTCTTCTATCTAGGTTCTTATATCACTCCACATTTCTGGCACTAAGAATAAAGTGTAATATGCTCGGCTGCAAGGAGTGGAGCAAACAGAACTTGAACTTCTGCTTTATGTGACACAGGAGAGAACAGTGTGTAAGTGTGAGTTACTGAGGGAGAACAGAGGGGAGGGGTGGCGAGGGTATAGAGTGAGAGGGAGAGAGAGAAAGCCAGACAGACCAAGAGACCGAAAGACAGAGAGGGAGAGAGAGGATTCCTAGAAAGCAAAACGCTCAACAGGCAGTGAGTGGAATGGTAATCAGAACAAAGTGCTTTCCGAGCCATTTGTGTGGAAAAACTGCGCCTGATTAGCGAGCAGGAACGTTCTTTAAATAACTGCTCCTGATGATCTCTATCATGACCCAACCTCAGGCCCTGAACCTCTGCCTGCCCATCCTTCCCCCTGCATGTCTGTTTCCTTAACAGTGTTTACAATCGTCATTCATTGAGCTAATACATTTCTAAGAAAGCATCTTGTAAAATGTGGGCACTAACAGCCATCGTTAACTGCCCAAGTGGTACCTCTCATGGGGGCACAATGTCATTTGCACTGTAGCTATGCTTCACAGGGCACAGAGAATACACGGCAACAGGAGAGATGAAGCATGGCTAGTTCAATGTGATATGTGCGACTTTACATGAGGTCTTTGATGCTATTTGGTTTCAAAAAGTCCACTGAGCATGAAAACAGTGACAGCATCGATCCAAGCTGTTCACTCCAAACACTGATTCCTTTTTCACGGTAGAAAAATACTGTCGCACCAAAATCTCAACACTTTTTTTGGGGTATTGCCAGCTGCCCTTTACAAAATTGAACATTTCATCATGAAGGCAAACGGCTCAAAATTACTAGAGCAGGTTAGAGACTAATGTAGAAAGGCTAATATGGAGGACACACTGGGCCAGAAAAAACAAAAAAGCTGACAATAAGTAAAAACGTTTATACAAAATAAAATTAATAAAGTAATTACAGGATGTAGGCTTGCCAAGAAATCCAGCGACCTCAATAACAGGGAATGGTTGGTCATCCAAGGCAATGAATTCCACTATTTTTTAGTTATATAATTTGGCACTACCGTTTGTGATTTTTTTGTTTTATTTCAAAAACTGGGGCTACAGACAGCATCAGTGTGCTGTAACGTAGAAGCTCTTGGGTATTGTACCCCCACTAGATACTTGGCATGAACAGAGTTTATAAATCACTTGTCTAATGTCCCTCAAAGAAACGGAAATAGTTCTGCATGGCTGACGTTTTCACTGCTTCTGCTGTGGCTCACACTATTTGAATACGTTTGTGATGTCCAGTGCAATAAAGTAATTTTTTTTTCAATCTCTGTTTCTAGTTTTCTTACCATTAAAATGATTTGTAAAATTTTGTGATACTTTGTTTCTTTTTTTTTTAAGTCAAAATTTTCAAACTTTTTTCTCTTTCAGCCAAAAACCAGTTTTGTTTGTCTTTTTACGACCTTTAAAATTCTTAAATTCTATTGTTCATGAAGGTTTATAAAATTGTGATGTTACAATTTTATAACAACTTTGCGTAAGAAACGGTGCCGCATGTGGACCAGTCAAGTCTGATTAATGATCAGACCTGTTTAATAAGGTTGTCATTGGTGCTTTTCATAGCAAATGACCAGTACACAGTGATAGCCCAATGCAATGAGCTACTAGGCTATTAGGCACAGGTCTAAACAGCTCCCTCGAGGTCCATGCGGCTTATCTTTTCATGTGCTGCCCTCTCCGAGCACACTAGCCTGCTCCCTGTTGTTCAAACTTCTCTCCCCGTTATGAGTTTCAGAAGGACCCCACCCTTCACACATAAAAGGCATTCAAAACAACACAGACGCTCATCTTTAAACACAGCTCATCCTTCTTTCTCTCTCTCTCACCCACACAGGCTCACACGCACACATATCCTGCTTCTTTTAAGTCTTTTAAGCAGGTGATTCATCACAGACGTCAAAACAGGGAGATGAATGATGGATGAGAACACTCCAGATTCAGATGAAAGATTCAGATAAAAGTGGCTGTAGTAGTCCAATGCATTGGGACAAACTAAAAAGAAAACAACTGCTCCACACTGGTTACATTTACAAGACAAAAGATTGACATCAGCCCTACAAGGGGTGCAGCGAGCTACAGCCTAAAAGCCAGATAAAGTCACTGTGATAATATGGTGAGGAAGTCTGTGGTCAAATAGATAAGAGGGAGTGGGGTTACGGCACTTTGAGAACGTTTATCTGACTTCTTCCACTTTTAATGCATGAAGACAGACTGCATTCAGCCTCATTTTGAGCACGCAAAGACTTTTGACCCAGTTAAGAACCTTTGCATTACGCTCAATCCCTGGCCAGATGGCACCAGCACTGTGCTACAGGTGGCGAGGATGTCTAGTGTGGACTGATACGCTCAAGATCACAAAAGACTGAGAAAACAAAACCCTGAACTCCTTGAAGGTGAAAATTTCCCCTCTCTGCTTACGCAAGTGCTAACACATAGCCGGATTACCAACTTGTGCGGTTTGGAACGCTTTCCGACAGAATAATAAGCAAGATGCAGTGCTCCAGCGTCACGGCGTAAGATGTACACCCTCAGGTTTAACTGAAAACAAAGCAGACTTTGTCCTCTTCGCATGTGAGCTCCACTATTAGACCCCTCATTTACAGTTTGACTGCCTGTTTTATATTACACCGCCGCAACGAAATAACAAATGTTTGGACGCTACTGACGGTGAAGAAACGTCACCAGCAGAGCATGCGTTGTTGTCTTGGCAGGTGGTCAGGTTGGTAAGATGTAAACAAGGCTGAATGATAAGCAAGATCGTAGGCCAGGGCCTGCATTTACAAAGCTTCTCAGAATGGGATCAGATTCCGCTCTAATTTACTGTCAGACTTTGCTGACAGAAACAGATCCTAGATCAGCACTCCCACTCCAAGAAGCTTTGTGAATACAGGCCCAGATACGTTTTCCAGGTATGCCTCAAGCTTTACTTTAAGACATTTTTCATGTTTAGCTCTCAGATTTGCAGCTTCTTTTGGTCTCCTATTAAGAGTTACCTGAAAACGTTGGACTTTAGGATATCAGCTCATAATCCACAACAAATACTGTAAACCTTTTAATCTCCAGCCAGGAAAGACATTCATTTCACAAACTAAAAAAAAATGTGCAGAGCAGGCAAGGAACAGCAACAAGCAGGATGTGGCTGATCCCTGCCTGGACTGACAAGATTAAGACAAAACCATCACCTTTCTTTAATTCAGAACGGTTCTGTAACACATTTCCACATTTCACATATCACATATTCCTTTGTAAAACAATGCTAGGTTTGGCACAACTTTATACTACGTATTTTTCTTTACGTGTGAAACCCACAATCTCAAACATCCTGATGCTTGTTTTGGAATGACCATCCACTCACTACCACACAGTTACACACATACTTAGATCTGATTACTGAGATCTGACTTCCACCTAGTGGTCAGACAGCACACTGCACTACAGAAATTCATAGAAACTTGGCACTCACCAAGTTTGTCAGGTGTTTTTGCATGCTTTGTCCATTTATTTAGATATGACATACACAAAGTCAGAAAGATGCAGAACACTTACTCCATAGGGATGCGAAACTGCACAGTGTCGGCTGGCTGTTCCTTGCCCGGTCTGACGAGCGTCATAGAGAAGGTGGGCCGGAATATCCTCAGCTGAGGGTTCCCCAGCTGGTAAATAGGATAGCTGCACAAATGTGACAAATAGCATCTCATGGAACACGGCAGAAGCAAAAACTACTTTTTTCAGATATGGCACGATTACTGTCACTGGATTGTGACATGCTGGACTTCTGATTCCCACTTATCACACCTCAGGAAAAACTGTGATAAATATTGTGTATCAGGAAAATGTCTTGAAGCACTATAATGCTATTTTTTGCTATTCTGTTCACCTCTACTGCACATGTACAAGTGGACCTGAACAGGCACGTGTATAACAACGTCCCGCCAGTCCTTTATTCCATCTCAGACAGCTCCCTATGCTCTGTATAGTTCACTGCACAGGTTCCACGATGAGCCTTTTGGGATTAAGTCATCCTGTTGTATCATACTATGTCTGGTTTGTCATTGTGCATTCTTAGAGCAGGTTATGTTTTCTAGATAAGTCACAGGCCAGTGAAGTCCTTTTAGCTTATACTTTTCAAAGTACTGCCACATTCTTTAAACTCATGGGGGGAAAGTGTACATTTTGGGTTGCATACAGACCATCTCTCCTTATGCAAATGATATTTGATACTGAATCTGTAACACCAATTCTATCTTTAGAAAAATAAACAGCCAATACAATTACATGTCCAGTCTTATCTCCTACAAAACTCTCCACATTTTAGCTTAAGCACACTGACAAAGCTGATGTTACACAGTAACACAGGAATATTCATTTATCACTTAAAGTGTCTCTAAAGTGCTTTTAACTGGATATATGTTATGGACGTTTCTGGAAGTCTTTTATTTTATTATGCATGGAGTATTTTATCACACAATGTCCATGGTTTATGCCAATTTATATTTCCAAGATACAGAAGACCGGCAGGGTTCTTTAGAACTAGTCTGTTTTCCAAAACACCACTTTGTACCGAAGGTTGCTCGCTGACACATCACTCGGAGCAGGTTAATCAAGGTCAGTTTCTCCATCAGTAACTGAAATGCTATACAACCATCTTTAAAATCTGAGTCTATCTTCGTCAGCTTTACACATTAACCAAACTGAGTCCTGGTTTTAGTGATGCTAATGTAAAAAGCAAGGTTACCTACTAAAATAAAACATCGACCAAGAGTTTCCACTAAATATTGAATGTAAATATGTATGTAATATGTAATATGAAGGTAAACGCGGTGAAAGTGTAACTATATTGTTTGGCTAACAGCCCAGTTGAATGGGTAACGTTAACGTTAGCAACTTAACGCTAATTAGACTAGCTAGCTCATTCAGATAGACAGAAACACGCCCTTACATGATACTAAAACATATTCCGAGTAGGGCTCACAGCAGATAACAGCACTTACATTAAACGCTTTGCCATACTCATCACTCCTGTCTCTCTGAGAGCTACATGTGCTGCAGCTGTATCATTCAGCCTGTAACAACAAACGTGCTCAAGGTCCTCCGAAGCGTCCCCGATGACTGCAGGAAGGGTTGACTGGGTGACCGACTCCAAAATAAAAGTCTCTTCATTTCTCTAATGCAGTGTTTCTCAACCCTGGTCCTGGAGCATTGCCCTGCACATTTTAGCGCTTTTCCTGCTTTTACACACTCACGTTTGATGTGTTGGGAGCAGGGAAAACACTAAAAAAATGCAGGACAGTGGGCCTCTGCCCTGATCCATTTGCAGATAAATTAGAGGTAGACTACACGATGAAGAGCTAGAAACTATTCGCTTGAGGTGTTAATTTATGACCCTGTAAGGTGAACCTCTTGAAGCTACACTGCATATTCAAACCTCCAAAGCCTTGGTAATTACTCGATGAGTTCAGAAAGACGGAAAATACTTAACTTTGCAGTGGAACGGATATCTAGAACTGGCATTTTCATTTTATTGCCATAAACATCACTCTGTACACAACTGGCCCATGAAAAATTGAGGAATGATGTGGGACTTTTTTTTTTTTGCCTTCTTCTATTCCTCCCATCAATTTTCTAGAGTGAAATAAATAAGGCCCACTGAAGACGTTTATTTTGACATGTGAGATTTCAGGCTGCGTCCAAAACCACATATTACCACATTAACTAGTTTGTGAAAATAGTACAAAATTAGTAGTACATTCGTAGTACGAAGAGTGCAATATAGAATGTGGTTTTGGACGCTGTCTTAGTGCTTCAGTGGGGTCTCAAAACCAACCCAGTGTTTTTTTTTTGTTTTTGTTTTTTTTTCCCCTTTAGTTCATCTTGTCAATGAAAAGACACCTGGATTGCCTGTAACCAGACTTGGTGTGATTCACAATGTCATTGTAACAATCCAAAGAGGCTTAGCTTTGTCAAATGCCTTTGACAATTAACAAAAAATACATTTCACAATTTAATTCAATGTAATATTCAATTATTATATTCTGAGTGGGTTTACCAAGAAGTTCATCTCCTTTCCTACTATAGAAGGTACCCTCTTTCAGAAAGCCTTCTCGTAAGACCCTTTTAAACAGTAGAGGGAAACCTTGCCCCTTCCACTTCCACAGCGGCACATACTGGGAGCTGGTCCACACATCTGACCCAACATTTAATCTAGTGTTGCAGTGGGTGTAAAAATGACTAACTGTCTCCTGAAAGGAACACTTGTCTGGGCCTCAATTCATCCAAGGTCTCAGTGGGCAGCATAGCTTTTCCAGCCTGTGCCTGCAGTCATGTGCCACTGCGCAGGCAGAGGTTTCAGAAAACTCAGATTCTAGTTTCAGATCTATACAACTATTCTGAACTTACCCAGTCAGTGGTCATATTAGCAGCATGCAAAGTGTTAGAGAGTTGTGGGTAAGGTAAACTGATTCATTTTTTTATTATAGTCTTAGATCAGATTGTGACCACAGAGTGCTCAGTTCAGGCAGAGCTTTACGCAAATCTCTTTGAGAGGGTAACACGCAGTAATAAATGTTTATACTCTGTTCTTGTTTGGCTTCCATCATTTCTCACTAATTGCCCCTATCAGGTAACTTGAAGGGGCTCTTTGCCATTATCGCTCTGCCACCCCTTGGTAGTACCTTAAAGGCAGAGGCCTTTTTTTCCTGAATTAAAGGAATGTCGCTGACTACAAAATGAGGCCTGACCTCAGAGGTCAGTAGCCTCAGCGTTAATGGCTGGAGCTAAAGTGCTGCAGATCGAATAGGTGAATGTATGAAATTGTGTTGGTTTTTATGACATCACAAAAACAATGAATTTAAAACGGACTGTTTTTTTTTTCCATATATGGACTGTATGAACTGGGGAGTGAATGATATGTATTAAAACCTCAAAATGTTAAGACAGCACATCAAACATTTTCATTTCCAGAACATGAGGAAAATGATACGGGTGTCTTTCAATACGGCACACAGTGAGGAAAGCGTTGAACCTGTTTGACTGTGTGTGGATTACAAAGCGTTTGCTAAGTATGGAAGACATTCTTCCATTTGAATAGCGAGTCGTGTTAGCTAGCTAGCCAGCTAAATATTTACGCAACTGTTCTAATAAGTCGTAATGTGATAGGGACAATGACTTTAGCCATTAAATGCCTGTGAATCCCTGTTTGAATCCCTGACACTTTTTTATCATAACCTGTGTGGCTGAGATTTGCTTGCAAAAATTGGCTGTCGTTCCTGAAGAAGCAGTGTTGGTGTCACAGCGGCTGTTCTGTGTATCCAGGCAATGTCGGGCTGTCTGAAATTTGAGGCTAAATGCTGAATGACTTATAAAGAGGGTGTGTGGAGGAGTTGGAAGCCCCTGATTAGGCATCCATAAGCATGAGTCATTTTCATTTTTTCACCGTCACTGTTTCATTTTTTAATTAATTGCTAATTGGCATTCATGTTACAAAGGTTTAATGTCACCCTGTTGTATTAGTGCACCAATTTGGTCGTTTTTGCTCCAGCTCTGATGAATAACACTCCTGCCTTGACAATGGCCTAGAGGAACGATGGTGAGTACATCTGCTTTCACATGCCAGGAGGTGGTTGGACCAGGTCCCTGCTGTGGAATCACAGAGCATGAGCCTCCTGACAGGGTGCCAATGTTTTGCAAAGGGTGGGCTCGGGTGGGCTAGAGAAGATGTACACATGCAACTCGACCCCACTCAACCTTCAACCAAAGGTCTGCTCTCACACTGTTGTCCAACTCTTCCATTTATAGATTTGACTGAGCAGTTTGTTTGTGACTGGTGCTGTCCCCTAAAGCAATAGAATGAAAAGTCAGATGGCCTAAATAATAATAACGTCCTCCAAAACTCAAATCACAGAGCTCACTCTTTCAACCAGTAGCAACAGATTTATCATTTCCTCCTAGATATTACATTTAAATATATTGCATGGGGACACGTTTGAGTTTCCTTTTCTCACTTGTTTAGCCCCCTTTTCAGAGTAGCCATAAATGTAATTTCTGCCTGTTTTGGAGGACGTCTCTCAGTCTCTCTATGCTATGTTTTTTGTCCTTCAATAATGCTGATGGAATATACTTTAATGGAAATGTGGAATTTACAAAGAAATTTACAAAACTTGCATTTTCATCTTTGTAGGTGAGTAAGTATGTGCACATTTCTAAAATTGTTTTTATTGTGTTTAAAAGTCATTTTTACTCTTGTTTCAATTTTTTTGATATTAAGAGAGATCCAGTTGTGCTTTCCATTTCCTCTCTGCACGGCTGTCTTGTGGAGAGGTGTGAATTGTTCTCACAGCAGTGGGTTCTCAGCCCTCCCCTTTCACTCTTCATTGCTCACTAGCAGCTCAACACGGAGTCACAACATTTTACACACACAAAACCAACAGTGTACTATGGTGAAAATATTTTTATTCAATTATATTACTTTTTTAAAAAAAAATCAGTTTTCCATTCAGAAAGAGGCCACAATAGTTCAACCATGTTTAAAGTATTATACATGACCATAGCCTTGCAGAATATTCTCTATTGTGATTTTTTAGGTGACAATGTGGTTTGAAATAAAATCACAGTACTCATCAGAGGTGGGCATTAACTAGTGACATTTGCTCAAGGAGAGTTTTATGTACTTCATACTTTTATGTCTACGCAAGTATATTTGAGAGGAAAGGAATCTGCTTTTTACTTAGTTGCATTTTAGTCATTAACACTTACTTACTGCTTTTTGTGTTTGATTTTTCTATATCATACTGGTGACAGCATCTGTACTGCTTTGCCATGGGCCTCACCTCTGACTCTGGAGCTTTAGCATTATTTTAGACCTGAAAGAGACAAATAACACCAAATTCAATTGATATCTTCATGAATAAGACTAAGATGTTCCATTGAAGTTCTATAAGTTACTAGTACTTTAGTAGTTTTTTACCTGCTTCTTTTGGACTCTCTACCCAAGTTGTTTTTTGGAAAATAATTTTAGTTCTTCATCAGTCATTAATACAGTAACCACATTTTTACTGGTGTATGGGTTTAGGCTACTCAGCCCACCTCTGATACTCTTAACTTATGAAGTCACACAGTAAAGCTAAACTATTTAGTGTATCAAATTGCAAAAGCGGCTACCAGATTATCCACACACACACATACAGTGCCTAATGATGGGAAAAGGCATTCACATAATTCAAGCTCTGTACAGTGTATAATAATAACTGGATAGGATAAAAACAGATTTTGTAAAACAAGACAAAAAGATGAAAAAAATAATCTCTCTCTTGCTCTTTTGTTTGAACTGTGGCTAAGACAGCAGTCGCACAGCCAGAAGAAAAGCTATGGAAACTTTCCCAGCTAGGCCTGTATTAAATGTCCAAAAGGAAAGGGAAATTGTAAATTGAAGATCCAGACGGGAAGATGGAAAACTTCTTCAGTTGAAATGAATATTTTTGCTTGTAAAGCTCTGCAGCTTTTTATTACTTTTGTCAAACAGTATTTTATATTCCCTCAAGGTAGTTCTGTGCCATTCCCATTTTCCCATATTGCACTCATTGGGATATCATTTTACATGAATATATATGAAAAAGGTCTGCAGCCATGGAACTCAATGTGGTCCACATCATTCCAAGTAAAGTTCCTATATGAAGAGACTGGAGGTAAACAGCTGATTGAGAGCCATAATATTCTAATTCCTTGTGTATTTGTTTATTTATTCATTTATTTCATTTTTTTTGCCATGGTTTGTCAACTATGGACATTAAAACTCCTGTTTAAATGAAATGCATATGCTGACTGTAGTCTGTCACTTGTACATGAACTTCCACATAATGAAAATCCAGTGAAAATCCAGTTTAGCCATGCTTTTTTCAGATGTGTTTGGTCACCTGGCGTTAGCTGGACTGTAGCCCTAATACAAGGCATATCCCACTGTTTTTCTAACACTGCGCTCCATGCTATGGAAAGTAGGACATGCCAGCAATCAGTAAAACCTTTATTTATAGCAGGCTACTGCCCAATGGAGTCATATAGTTGACATGTAAATTGACACCTGGTCACTGGACATGGCCCCAGTGCAACTTTGACACTGGACCATGGCTGCTGAACTTGACCACATACATTTTCACACAGTGACCTCTACACACCCTGACTCACACAGATACTGTAAAACTGTATGTTGACTGAAGCAAATATTGTATGAAAACTAGCTGTACAGCACTTCAAAGTGACCTTATTTAATTTTTTTTTTTTGGAGTTTGACTTACACATTGTTTGAATTGCAAATATGGAAAGTAAGTTCAATTTTTTTTTTTTTTATTAATTTTTTGTGACGTTACAAAAGCAACATTTCTGCACCTATCAGCATTAAAGTTAATATCACCTCCTTTTTCTACACTCATTGTCCATTGTATCAGCTCCACATATCATATAGGTGCGCATTGTAGTTCTACAATTACAGACTGTAGTTTATCTGTTTCTCTGTAGACTTTGTTAGGCCCCTTTTACCCTGTTACCACCTGTGGTGGTGGTGTGTTAGCGTGTGTTGTACTGGTACGAGTGAATCAGACACAGCAGTGCTACTGGAGTTTTTAAACACCTCAGTGTCACTGCTGGACTGAGAATAGTCCACCAACCGAAAATATCCAGTCAACAACGTCCTGTGAGCAGCGTCCTGTGACCGTTTATGAAGGACTAGACCAACACAAACTGTGCAGCAGCAGATATGCTACTGTCTCTGATTTTACATCTACAAGGTGGGCCGACAAGGTAGTTGTGAGTGGACAGTGAGTGAACACTGATCCACTCGTACCAACACAACACATACTAACACACCATCACCGCTGTGCGGAAAGTGGAGTTAAAATGGACAATGAATGTAGAAGCAGGAGGTAGGAGGTGGTTTTAATGTCATGGCCGATTGGTGTGTTTTTGTCTATTCAGGCTACAGCAATTTAGCCCCACTGAAGTATTTCAACACCAGATTGCTTTTTGAATGAGGCACATTATAGGGCAGCCAATCAGAGCAGAGGTCATTTACATACATCAGTCTTAAAGGCACAGTAACAAAAACTTCTATAAATATTGCAACTTGACTTCAGGGGAAAAAATAAAATACAAGAAAAGCGAAAGATATGGGCCCTTTAAGCATCAACTAGGTGACCTTTAAAAAGGGGCTTTTTACAATAGAACAGCTTAACATTTTAGAGTGCAGACAAGCTGAGACACACATACAAAAGGGCAACTTTTAGCAACATCATAAAGAGAAGCACTCAGCAGTCAGCTGACTGTGTGCAGTAGTTAGATAGCAGAGATGAAAAGGTGCCCAGCTAAAGTTCTCACAGCCTTATCCAGTGACCTGCCCTGCTTCTACTCTACATACTGCAAACATAACCTGAATCTCATGTAACTAACCTTCAAGACACTTTGGCCATTGCTTCACCTTCTCATACCCACTCTAAATGTATTTGTCTATATGTCTGATTGTTTAAATGTTAATGTTGATGTTTACATTGACTGTAATTCCTAATGCTGACACACTAACATAAAACATAAATCATAATAGTTCCTTTCAGCTCCACAAGCAGATCCCACAGGCTATATTTCTTAACATTTATAACGTATAATTTACAATGGGATGAAAATAGCTACATTGAGCTCAATAGATGTTGACAGACCAAATTCCATAGGTGCCATTTGGAGCTCTTATGCCATCAATCTTCAGACTATCATGGCACTGCCGCTTTTTTTCCACCTGAGCAAAATGCTGTTGCTTCCTTGGACATGTCCCATACACCTGCTCAGCTCCATGCTTTTAGTGACTTGCAATAAATAACAGCAGAGAAACTCTCCTCTAAGTAGATTTGCATAAATCAGCTAACCACACGGGTTTACTAAGATTTATGGAGTGGTGCATGCACGATTTAAAGGAGTTACCCAAATTAGTAGTTGTTGTAAGTCTTCTTCAGTCAGCTTCATTACAACTTCATTAGTGTGTTTACATTTAAACAGGAATGGGGATATTTGGGAATCATTCTGTAAATCCTAAAATGTTTTCCAAACCTTTTGGCATGACCAATCTAGAATAAATCTAGAGAAAAAGAGGATATTAGATATATAATTGAATCGAGAGAGAGAGAGAGAGAGAGAGAGAGAGAGAGAGAGTCCTATACAAAAGATTAGGCGCCCTGGTCCCTGGTCAAATTACATAAGTGAAAATAAGTTAAAGCACATCCACATGTGGCCTGTGCAAAAGTTATGGCTCATTTTCCAACACGTTAAACTCAGCAAATAAATCTGAATAAATTATGTTAAATATAAGTTATAAATTAAATATAAATTGTGCATTAAACTAGAAATGCCATATTTAGGTTTAAGAAAAATGCCATATTTAAGTTCCCTGCAGGGGATGATTTATCTTTTTTATCTCTTTGTTTACTTCGAAAATCAACAAAACACGTAATCTGTCCAGGTGTATTACAAAAGTTATATAGCAAAAGTTTGAACAAAAGTTTGAAAAAGTTCAGGTGGCCGTTACGCACAGAATGGAGCGCACCTGAACCTTCAGGGAGTTCACAACGTCCATTCATTCGCTCTGAGTTGGTTGTGGCAAACCTGATGATATCACAGACTTTTTTGAGTAAGTAAGTCACGTGCAGAGCGTCTGCGCACCTATAAGCCAATGGCAGACGTGCGTTTTGGCGAGAGCGCGCGGGGGGGATTGGAGAAACGGGTCTCTCCAGCTCTAATACTGAGCCATTGTCACCCCTAAACTATGGCCCGGGGTGTTCCAGCGCGCTCGGCACCCCCAGCCTCATTCCTCAGCACCTCCGCGAAGAAGCTCTTGGCGGTTACGTCAGAGCCCAGCGAGAAGTGCAGGGCAAGCAAATGAGCGCGTAAAGGAGCCGGTGGCAGGCATTGGTGCCAGGAGGCTGCTCACTGCTCAGCGACCAATGCCACAGTTCAGGCTCACTGCGCACTGCTCAGAGCACGCGCTCAGGCACCTCTCTCCTCTGGAGCTTTCCGCCGCGGGACACCGGACAGCCGGCTGGCTAGCGCATGACAGCTCTGCGGCGTAAAGCCTAGACAGCGAGGGCAAACAAAAATACAAACAAACAAACAAACAAAACTTCTCGACGAACTGCAGCCTGTCATGTCGTTGCAGTGACATGATGAGGCTGGTAGGAATTCCTGCAGGCACGCGTCGCATCTTTTGACCAGCTTCTCTTAGAAAAAAGAAAAGAAAACAGAAGCAGCAGCAGAATGCCCCACGCTCGCAACAGGAACCCCAGCCCCATCCCGGAGGTGACATGGGACACGGGGCTGAAGGAGATGAACGAGACGTGGAAGGGGGCCATCGCGTGCCTCGGTGTGGCCGTCTTCTTTGTCATGACCATTGGGATCATTTATTGGCAAGTGGTCGACCAGCCCAACAAGAACTGGATCCTGAAGGGGGGCTTCAGCGGACTGATCTGGGAGCGCAGGGCGCACTCTCTGCTCATCCAGACGCTGAGCGAGGACAAGACGTTCGTGGAGATCGACGTGGGCAACGTGGGCACCCCGGACATGGAGGTGCCCTTCGTGCGCAACCTGTGCTGGCTCAACAAAACCGAGTTCTGCTACACATGGGACTCGGTGGCCGAGGTGAAGATATCTTTGGAAATAGCTGACGAGTCAGAGACCGAGTGCTACAGCATGACCTGGACCCCGGTTCACTGCCATGTAGAGCTGAAGGTAGAGTATCAGTGCTGCCCAGAGGAGCTACACTCAAGTAGAAGTGCTGTTGCTTTAATGCTACCAAAAACTAACCCTATGCAACGCATGCAGCAGCTATCAGCTTAGAGGAATGGTTCACTCAGAAGTCATTTTTGCGCAGTTTTGCCTCTTAGCCTAGAAGTAGTTGACCGGCCAAGACATGTTTGGTTTCTGAAATTTGCCTCTTTAGTTATAAAAGGCTAATATAAGTCTATGTCACCCAAAACTTTTTAGGGTGATATAGACTTACATTACTTGGTAACTACGTTAGCCCCGTAGCTCAAGTGCAAAAAGCAAACTTCAGGCACCAAACATGTCTTGCCAGTCAACTATGTTTGGGGTAAGTGGGGGGAACTGTGCAAAAATGACTTTTCAGTGAACCGTTTGTGCTTGTTAGGTACTATTTTTGTCTTTTTGGGATTTTTGCTCTAAAATAAAATGCAAAAGCTTGGAAGTGAGACGTGCGAGCAACAGCAAGTCAGCACAAACCTTGTCACCAACAAAATACAATGAAATTAACTCCTCCCCCACCAAAAAAGCATAGTGATTTTTAAAATGGAAATGTGAATGATTGAGTGGAATTGAAATAAAATAAACTTTTTTCCTCTGTAGCATTTGAAAAGAAAAAATTCAAATCCGTTAAATTCTTTGCTCAAGTAAATGTAACAACTCTCTCGTCAGTTCCAGCACTTAACCCTTTACAATGTCCGGGGCCCAAAGTTTTTTTACACACTTCTATAACCTAAGAATAGCTCAACTAGTTTGCTTTGGAGTCATTGTAGTTGCTGAATCATAAGCCTCAGTATATTATGAGCCTGGGATTTTAAGAGGCTAACTGAATGGTACTGATAAGCATATTGCACATATATAAACTATTGTTATTAAAACTACTAGAGCTGAATTTTATATATATATATATATATATATATATATATATATATATATATATATATATATATATATGTAAATATATATATATATATATATATATGTGTGTGTGTGTGTGTGTGTGTGTGTGTGTGTAATTATTTATATGCATATATAATTAAGCCTTAGTAGTTTTAATAACAATAGTTTGGACATAAGCAGTAGGATCTCTTTTCCACAGCTCCAGACCTCTCTTTGTACTGCAAGGACTAAATCCCAAAACAATATAGAGGTTTTCCGCATTTAATCCCTTCTTTTTTTCGGTTTGTACATTCCCTACCTCAGTAATTCCCTGTTATGTGTTAACTCAGACTCCGGAGAGTACAGTCACATCCTAATGCCTCTCTGGGTGATCTTAAGCACACCTTTTTACATATTTGTTTTTTTTTTTTAGTGAGAAAACAGTGCTAACTGTAGTTAAGTATCACAGGCTATAAACAGCATTAATTCAAATTCAGCTTCAATATTCCTGTCAATATTCCTGAATATCTGTCATTCTAGTATACATTTTTTTGACAGAGGCTAAAACCTTGTATACCATTCACAGAGAAAACGTACAAGTTCTCAAAAAGAGTACAATAATTCCCTCATTTGAAGTTAACAGAAAACCATTACCATACCGATGGTTAACTATGACAGCTATCACCTGTTAAAGTGCTTCCCTTTCTCTCTGTTTGTCTGTCTCTCTGTTTTCCAGGACTGCTTCTCCATGGTGAATGTGTCATGGTACGGTGGGGCTAGTGTCCGTGCACCCAGCTGGCCGATAAACGATGTGGATGTTTCAATGCAGTCCTTCAGAGTCAGCGACCTGAGAGACAATCCCTCTGGCTTTGGCTCAGTTCTAGAGCGCTACTTCCTGGGCTCATCAGGTGAGCAAGGGTTGTGAGGGGTTTACATCAAAACATGTTTGCCTGCTAGATTTACTCACCTATCCCCATCATGCCTTGTGCCCACACCCTAATGTGTTTGGTAGTGAATTCTCTCTTAAAAATGAAGGTGCCTAAATGGGTTCTTTGGCGCGATTGCACAGAAAAAACAGTTTTGTTTCCCTAAAGAGCATTTCAATCAAAAAGTTTCAGTTGAGTGGTGCCCATATCGTAATAAACATATTTTTAACTTTTTTTTTTTAATTATGAAGTTTGATGTAGTATGTAAACATTGTTAAAGCTTCAAAACATACTTTAGTCCATACTGTCCATAAATGGAAACTAAGCTGCAAAAAAGCCATTTGAATTCATTGTTTTTGTAATGTCATGAAAACCAACACATTTACAAAAAACAACTATTTAGCCTACAGCAGTTTAGCCCTGCCCAGTCATGCTGAAGTTATAAGGAGTGTTTCAGCCCGGACTGCTTTTTGAATGAGGCACGAGGCAGGACAGCCTCATTTACATATATCAGCTTTAGAGGTGTAGTAAAAAATCAGCCTCTTACATTCTGAGTTCTGAGTTAAATGAGTTATTGCTGTTTTTTGATACACAAACCCACATTATAGTTATAAGTGAAAAAAATTTAAATACAAGAAAAATGTAGAACATGGGCCCTTAAAAGAAGCATCAGTTGAAATGTTCCTTACGGAATATGTTTATGGAAAAGTTCTTTATGGTTCTTTAATGGTTCTTCTATGGTATCACTCTGAATATCACTCTTTGACACCTTTATTTTTAAAAGCGTACATAAACAATGCCAAAAACAATCATATGGACAGCATTCTATAACACTGCATGACCATTGTTCCAGAATACTGGAGCTGGGCTTCTGCTTATTAGACAGATTAGAAAACAAAGAGTATTTCTCTACCTAGCGTCTTAATTTAACCTGTTGGAATTCCTCCACAGTTGTCTTTTGGTACTATATAAAGCAGCACTGTGGCAAACAGGCCAGAACCATGGTGATTATAATAACTTGGCTGGTTATTTTTGGGTGTGAGTTTGATCGGGTGGACGGATGCCATGCAGATAGATGCAAATGGTTAATGTTATTCATTGAGGGGGCATCGTAGAGACCCCCCCCCGGGACTCCGGACCACTAGGCCTGCTATGAAAGGCATGTGTGGCTGGGCAGCTGAGCTCCAAACCTTAGATGCACGCACACAGACCCACACTTCGCTGACCACACAATCCACAATTCAACTATTAATAAGCGTACTTATGGTAGAAACTATTTGAGGTCTTTATTTGGCACGTAAACAGAGTGTGCCTGAGCGGGTGTGTATGTGCTCATGCGTCCAAGTGTGTGAGAGAGAGACAGATTTCAGCAGCTAAAAGGTGAAAGTGGTAATCTGTGTCCCAGACAGCTGAACAGAATTAGATTAAAGCAAAGGGCATGACATCAGCTAAAGAACGTAATTATCATCATGTGACACAAACAAAGGCCTATTATGATTTCCTAGACGATTGTTTGTACAGGCTTTTGGCCCTTATGTAATAGTGGGCCGAGTTTAACTGAAAAGGGTCGCATGATTTTAATCCCTTTTCCACCTTGCTAAAGGACAGCCATGATTAGCAGGGCGTATAAACCCCACTTTAATTGCCCCCCTTTATAAAACACACAAGAAAAATGTTGAGCTCTTGGCCAAAGCAGCGGCGATAGGTTGCCAAAAACCGGCACGCAGAGAAATAGATGCATGGCACGGTATGCATAATGTCCAGTGGTATAAGAAATAGCTGCCATGTTGTGAGAGGTTCCAAAAGCAACCCAGCTGCTGCTGCAGGCCGCTGATCAAGTGGCTAGTTTGGCACACATTGATAATTGTTTTTTTCCTCGGCTGCTTTAGAGAAGCTGACTGGCATGTTGTTGTTTATGGTTGTGAAATGAGCACTGTGACATCCTGGGACACCCAGGAGAAGCATTTTTACCACCAGCCCAAGCAATGCTTCTAGATATTAATGGGATGATGCTTTTAAAACGGTTACTGATGATGTATAAGTTGAGTAACAGACCAAAAAACAGCCTCATCTACTTGGATGGATAGTTTTAGTCAGCTGTTGCAGTCTTGATTTGTTTGCCACCATGTGCCATGTGTCATTGCTTTTTTCTCATGTTGTTTTTTCTTTTTTATTTCAACATTTAATAAAAAATGCACCAACAGAATCCAAATGAGTAATGAAATGAATTTTTTTGTGACAATAAATTTAATAAACCCTTTAAGTGTTGGCCCATCTTCAGGAGATTGCAAGTCAGAGCCCCAGCGACACAGCAGCCATCCGTGGCAGAGAGTCTAAGAGAGTCTAAATGGCCATGCTCTCTCTGGGCAGGAAGGATGACCCTCCCTCTCCCTCCATCACTCAGCAAGATATTAGCCAATGCTAGCTGACATAACAGAATTGGCAGTTAAGCCCAGTTCCAAATGGCATACTTGCAGTCCTGCAGTCCACAATTGCGTGGGCATGTGAGCCTGTAGGGTCCTCACGAGGGCCCTCTATGCACCCTTACTGCGGCCTTTGGCAAAGACCTCAAAAATGCAGACTCAGCAGTAGCCTCTTACCCAAAATTCCATGAGATACTGGTGAAGAACAGAGTGTCTGGTTTTGTTTACAGCTATCTGACAAACATGACGGAGAGGTAGATATTCAGATGTGGGTAAAATACATTTGTTTATTACAAACCCTATTCCAAAAAACAGGGGACAGTAGGACAAAAGTAAATAAAAACAGACAATCTATGATTTTAAATCCTTTTTGACCTGTATTTTACTGAAACAAGTGTGCAAAGACAAGATATTTAATGTTTGAAGTAATTAACCTTATTGGGGCATGTTTAGCACTGTGTTACATCATCTTTACCCTCTTAGCCACACTGTTGTAACATGTGCAGAATGTGGCTTGGTCTTGCTGAAATAAACAGGGACATCTCGGAAAAAGACGTTGTCTAGATGGCAGTGTATGTTGCTTGATAACATGCATGAGCCCCTTAGCATTAATGGTGCCTTCACAAATGTGCACGTTACACCCCTACACCACGACAGACGTTGGCTTTTGAACTTTGTGCTGGTAACAATCTGCATGGTCCTTTTTCTCTTTGGCCCGGAGAACACAACGTCCATTATTTGCAAAAACAAATTGAAAGGTGGGCTCATCAGATCACAGCACACATTTCCACTTTGCATCAGTCCATCTCAGATGAGCTTTAGAAGTCGGTGGCATTTCTGGATGTTTTTGATATTTGGCTTCTGCATTTGTATATGCAGCAAAGAACTGTGTTCACTTACAAGGGTTGTGTGAAGTATTCCCGAGCCAGTGTGGTTATATTTGTTACAGAAGTGTGTCATTTTTTTAAATGCAGTTCCATTTGAGGGAAGATCATAGGCATTCAGTATTGATTTTCAGCCTTGCTCTTTACATACAGAGAGTTCTCTGGTTTCTCTAAATCTTTTAATAGTGTTATGGACTGTAGAGTGTAAAATCGCTAAATTCATTGCCATCGTGCTTTGAAGAACGTTATTCTGAAACTGCTGGACTATTTGCTCATGCTGTTTTTCACAAAGTGGCAAAGAGACTTCTGTGAATGCTACTTTTATTCCCAATCTTGAAAGCATCACCTGTTACTTATTCACCTGTTTACCTGTGGAAAGTTCCAAAACAGGTGTTTTTGATCATTCCAGTCTTTCCAGTCGTACATTGCTTCTGAGTTTGTAATTTACCTTGTCATTGAGCCACATTATGCTTGTGATTCAAATACAGATACTGTAGATAAGGAGATTGGCTCATTTTAAAAAAAAAAGAATGGCATGTGTGGCATATAGAGAGCCTGCAGACAGAGCAAGTCTGTCCCAAATGCATGTGTTTGAACCAAACATCTTTGAGGTTTCTTGTCCTATATTTTTGCACATTATTGATGTCACCAAAGTGTGGAGTTTAAGGAGGACTACAGGGCTTAGGGCACTATTTAGGACTGGGCTTTAGTGTTCATCTTGTTGAACTGTTCGATGACGTTGTGTTAGTAGTAGTTTGAAAAGATGCAGTGCAGTTTACTGCAAGTGTCTCGGTAGCATTGGTAGCATTGTGTGGTGTCAGGTAGCTAGCAGGTGGAAGTGGACATGACTAAATTGGGGAGAAAACTAGTTAAAGTTTGAAAAATTAATGTTTTGTCCTTCTCCATTTTGCACATGAAACTTTTGTTATGACAGCAACTGCACGCTTCAGGCTTTCCTCTTTATATTCCTCTTTCAGCCATACTACTTATTCCTCTTAGGAAGTCAAATCTTAGGTGATTAGTGAGTGCCACTGTCTACTCACTTCTCATTTCCCTTCCTTAATAAGAGTGAATATAGTAGACCTACATACAAGAACCATTGATCATCTGTTTCAAGGCTGGGGAAAAAAAAACAACAAAGTTACTGTTCTTCAGTTTATTGCTGTTTACAACAATCTACTGCAGATTTTGAGCTAGCTAATAGCATTATAGGCACTTAAGGGAAGTACTTAAGGAAAATGTTGGTATTTTGACACATGAACCCCAATATGGGTCATGTTATGATGATATAATCATTTGCCATTATTCTGTTACAGCAGACATTAAGCATGTCCCAAAATACAGTGAATGCTGAGAGTTAACTATATTGGAAAGAAAGTTTCTTTTGCGCCTGTAACGCAGTTTGCTGTAATCTGCACTGTGACAGCGGACATTTTTCATGGATTCTCAATATGTTTATGTTTCAGTTCAGTAACCACGGTAACCTTTTGTTTTCCATCAGACATTATTATCTCATTACTTTCCATTTTCCCTTAATATAAGATATGTGAGGCTCAGAGAGAAGCATCTCCTAAATAAGATGAATTCTTTGGCATACTTTGAAGTTTCCTCAATTTATCATAGCAGATTAGACTTGGAGAGATAACTAAAGGTTGTTATCATGGCTAGTGCTCAT